GTCCCTTCCAAACCACACCATTCTATGATTCTATAAGGCAGACAAGACTTGTGCAAAACAATACATTTTACTTCAACAGATAATTATTTTCCTCCACATTAATTAGCACATAATTTTCATCCAGATCCTGTTAACACAGTACAAAAAAAACCATCTGCCTCAGAAGTAATTGCACATCTGTAAGATATAAAATCTCATTCTACACATCCAGTTTGTTTTGATTACTGTTTTCTATGACTCTCATTTCCCAGTTTTTAACCCTCTTTGCATTTTCTAATTATTTTGACTCAAACCTTAGGTTCTGAGAACTGAGCAATGAGTCCAAACAACTCAAATCATCTATAAAGCAAAACTCCCTTGAACCACGAGCTTACATATTCACTTCACCATATATATTCTAACATCTTTTGCTCAACACTAATGTCAGAAATGCAGCATGTGATAAGATATACTTTGCATACCCCTATCACAGTGATATAACTTTTGACCTTGATACAAGAATTGATAGGGTTTTTGAAAACCTTTTACCAACATTTACCATGAATTATGACAGCTCTAGATACATTGATCTTTAAACAGGTATTTAGCCCCTGGTTTAACATGAAAGAAAACAAGTCCCTGTATGAGGAGGAAAACAATAAATCAGTAACTCCATGCTACGCTGAGCTCCAAACAAATCTTGAAGAATCACTGAAAGTATCAATAATTAAAAAAAAAAACCAAACTGTGCTTACAAGAAAGAGCTTAAACCAGGCTATCTTGATTCACCTTAGATAAATGATTTTAAAAGCAACAGGCAATGCGTTAGATCTGATGTAATTAGCCTTCATTGCACTAAGGTCTCATGGATTATTTAACACTCTCAGTGGGAGTTTTGACCCAATGACCTCCGGATGTCCACTGGCACCTAAATTATTTTGCTTATACAACAGGAAAACCACTCAGAGAATAAACAAAACAGCAGATTGAGTGGATATGAGGCATCAATGTGCGCTTACAGCCCAGAAAGGCAATTGTATCCTGGGCTGCACCCAGAGCAGCGTGGGCAGCAGGTGGAGGGAGGGGATTCTGCCCCTCTGTTCCGCTCTCCTGACACCCCACCTGCAGTGATGCCTCCAGTTCTGGGGCCCGCAGTACAAGAAAGACAGGGACTTGCTAAAGCAGGTCCAGAAGAGGGCCACAAAAACAATGAGAGGACTGGAACACCTTTCCTGTGAAGAAAGGCTGAGAGAGTCGGGGTTGGCCTGGAGAAGGGAAGGCACAAGGGAGACCTTTCAGCAGGTTACCATTGTGACCTTTCAGTATAGAAAAGGGGCTTATAAGAGAGACAGAGAGAGACTTTTTCATAAGGCCTGTAGTGACAGGACAAGGGGTGACAGTTTTGAACTGAAAGAGGGGATATTTAGATTGGACATAAGAAATTTTTTTATTATGATAGTGGCAAGACATTGGAGCAGGTTGCCCAGAGAAGTTGTGGATGCTCAGTCATTGGAAGTGTTCAAGGTCAGGTTGGACAGGTTTTTGAGCAACCTGGTCTAGTGAAAGATGTCCCTGCCTGTGGCAAGTGGGGTGGATTAGATAGTCTTTAAAGGTCCCTTCCAACCCAAACCATCTATCATTCCCCTCCAAAACAAGTACCAAAGTGACACAGCAATCAAAGCAGATGCACTGCATTTTCAGCTTTTCTTACCTGCAGGCGTACAACATGTTGGACATAAAGGTGATAGGGTTAGTACTGCGAGAGGTGTCCATCACATAAACAACAACTGAAGGAAAAGAGGAAGCCTGGAAACACAAAGTAAAAGATATTTTCATTAGAAGTATAAGCTTTTCAACAGCCACTTCTTTCACAAAGCCTCACTGTCAAGTCATGTAGAAAACACTTACCAAGGCCTCAGTTATGATGGTTCCTGATGCTGACCAGGTGAATACCTCAATTTGCCCTGGTGTGTCAATAATAACATACCTGTTAAAAGGCACCCCCGAAAAACAGTAAAGGAAAATTAGTTAAGCACAAGGTCCTGTTCTGACTAGATTACCACAAGCATGTAATTGCAAATCACATGATTATTCTGTTACAGATCAGAAAAGCTTCTCCCAAACAGTGACAAGATTTATGGGCATGGCTGAAAATTTCCTGTGTGATTTCTGTAACTAAGAAGCACATACTCTCTTTAGATTCTACTAAAGCTGAAGGCATCAATTTGACAGACACTCAGTACTGCAAACACTTCAGAAGAAGAATTAATTGTTGCCTATTTGAACAGTGCGTGAGAAAAAGTGACAGTCTAATGGAAGACAAGAAAAGCAGAACTGGAATCAGCAGACATTTCTTCAACTTATCTGAAGACTAGTTTATCTGTTCTAATTCTATGCTCTTTTCCACATAAAATCTATAAAACAAGGCTGAAAAACAACTAGAAAACATACAAAAAACCTTTTTAGGATTTCACATGGTTTTCCCACACTAATCCCAGAAAAGTAGAACTCGGTAGAATGTACTCACTTGGATGCATTTTGTCTTTTTTCAATAAACTTCATCACCTGATTGAAAAATGAATATACTTAGGCTCACAACAGGAAGCTTTCATAATAATTTCATAACCGAAACAACATTAACTTGCACAGCTGCATGTGTGTCTCAAAAGAAGATTAAAGTCTAAGCTTTTCAGTGTATGAAAATGCCTTCTAAGGAAGGGTGGAAAATGCTCAGACACTGCATAGGTCAAAGAAAAGCTTTATTTTGTCTGTGTTCTAATACCTGGATAAAGAAATGGTAAAACAAAGGCAGTTGTTCTCTACTTTTTTACTAAGAGACTGTGCACCGTCTCAATGCATAAGTTCCCATTTAGCATTATGATTTAAGAGAGCAGTCAATTACCAAATAACCCTAGGAAAACTTAACCTGTTTCCAGAAGTGAGCTTCCTTACTTCAAAATCAGAGTATTCAAATGAAAGATTTTATAGTGAACACAGTGCAACAGAACAGTTATGTACAAAGACTAAAGCATATTCTGTACACGTGGCTTCTAAATTTTGCTTTTTAAAAAGCTGAAAAACTGAAATCTCTCAAATGAAAGCTAATGTGTTTGTCTGCTTTGTAAAAGACATGGTTCTGTATGATTAGGAGGCTAACCAAATACAGTGTTCTCTAAGACTTCAAATACACAAAAACCCCACAGTCTCCCAGCATAGTATTGTAGCACAATATCACAAAGGAACAACCTTGTCCTCGTACCTGATCAAATCTTGTAGCAAAGAGATTGAGGGAGGTCACTATGCCACCATTTGGGCCCAGCCCATATCTAAATGCTTCATTAAGGAAAGCAGATGATTATGCACATCTCACAGGGTTTCTTTTTCAATTCTGATAATAGTTGGCCATATACAATGCACAGTGGATACCTTGGAGCAAAAGACAATACCCCTAATAAACAACTAAGTCTTCTAAGTGATGCAGTAGCATAACAAATACAAAGTGGTCTCTCTCTTGCCCAAGCGTGTGATTGACAAAAGGAAAAGAGTCTATGCCGTGACTTCCCCTCGCCATTATTCAAGCATTACCACTCTGGACAAAGACAAAAAGAGGTTGTAGATGCCCCCTCCCTGGAAGTGTTTAAGACCAGGGTGGATGAGGCTTTGAGTAACCTGATCTAGTGTAAGGTGTCCCTGCTCATGGCAGGGGGGTTGGAACTAGATGATCTTTAAGGTCCCTTCCAACCCAAACCATTCTATGATTCTATGATTCTAAAATATAGGTATGTGTTTACATCAAAGCCATCTTTGTCTTTCCAGAAGGATTTACAATGCAGCCAGTAATTCAGAATTTAACAATGCCCTGAATGCACTTAATTTTAAAAAATTGTACTTCAAAAGATAAATAAAAGATTTATTGCATAAATAATTTTTCAGCAGAATATAAATGATAATGGGAATGAACGCTGTAAAGATACTTGAAGTGTCAGCTTAAACATGAAGATTTAAACATCTTTTTTCATGCATACAGATCTATATACTAATTATGTTCAAAGAAACAAATATAATTTTTTTTTAAACTCTATAAGAACCAGCACTCATTCATCAGTAAACACTGTCTTCTAGGGCCACTACTCTCAGTATCCAAACACGAGGCCAGACACCCTCCTTAACCACTATTTAATGAGATGCTTAAACTCCAGGAATGGCTAACAGTAACACAAACAACATACCTGAGTACTAAACTGAAACTTATACTTGGATGATGATTTGTTGGTAACTCCAAATCAAACAACAGCCAAAATCAAGAATCCTATTCTCCACCATCTTTATTCTCGTCTAAAATACTAAATTTAAGAGTCACACTAGCAAAGCAAATCCAAACACTGTACGTCATCTCTATCTGCACAAGCTATTACTTAGGAGACAAAGGAACTCCATACCCCATACTGAGATGCAGTCATTTTACCATAATGTTACTGAACTACAGTTATCAAACTGCTGTTCAGCAAGAGTCAACAATCCAATGTCTCTGATATTCAGAAAGACAACAGTGCTTTGATTATGGCCAAACAATGTGAAAATAGTTTCCTCACCTACTACAAGCAAATAGGAATTTGCATGTTTGTTTATAAGGAATAAAATTAGACTTGTTAGAACATGGGGAAAAGGCTGCTGGCTTCCACAAAGAAAGATACAAGTTCTTTGAAAGAAAAATGGAAAAAAAAAAAAGATGTGGGCAGAGTGCCTATTATTTGTAAAAATGCACTATCAGTAGGCAGAATTAGGCAAAGGAGAAAATGAGTTCTTCTTAGGACTCTCACATGCAAGAAATACATAGTAAAAAACTTCTGATCTTGATGTAATGTTCTGCATTACCATCATCCCCAACACCTCCTGCCCTCTTCATCATAGTGTGCAGAAGTGACAGACTATTTTCACAGAATCTGAGATTTCAAATGTCATTATTCAGACAAAAAAGGATACTGTTTCATGACTTCTTTGTACTTCACAGTGTCCCGGATATCTAGAAGAGGAAGACATATAAATAGTTTTAGGACAACACTTTTAAAATATCCTTCTTCATCAATTTGCTGATAGGTGAAAGCCCTTCTTTTTCTAGAAAGTCTCCTTTTGTCTCAGTAATAGATCTAGCACCAACAGGAAAAAACCTCTCAAGTAGAACAAATTAAATTTAACAGACTTGCTATGCTCTCAACATATATACGAAATCCATTGTAATTCACATGAAACACCACTAATTTATGTATTTAGCATTAACTGCTTTAGTTGAATTTTATTCTCAGCTGATCAACATCAGTTAACAATGTATACATATCTAACTGTATTATTAGAGAGTCAGCACTGGAACAGATACTCTAATTATTCATTTGACATCAATAAAACAACTTTGCTATCCGTACTGCCTTTCTTATCTTCTGGGCTGACAAACTTTAGAAAGCTGAGGAGCAGAACCCTCACAAACCTAAAGACTGGTGAGCCCTTTGGAATGGCAAAAGGTAAGGTCTGTTTCATTGTTAAGGTATTTTCTCTAAAAATCAAGTCTTTTGACGTGCTTTAAAGAAGTTATTTGGTAGCACACGGCTCCCACTGTGCTGGATGTAGGGAACTAGACTGAATTTGCTAATATGTTAATTGCCAACAAAGGAAAAAAAAAACAAAAACACAAGAACCCAAACACATCAAATCACAACAGATTATATTAAAAAAAAGGTACAAACATTAAGAAGAGTGTGACCAGCAGGTCGAGGGAGGTTCTCCTCCCCCTCTACTCTGCCCTGGTGAGGCCACAGCTGGAGTGGTGTGTCCAGTTCTGGGCTCCCCAGTTCCAGAGGGACAGGGAACTGCTGGAGAGAGTCCAGTGGAGGCCACGGAGATGATGAAGGGGCGTGGAGTATCTTTCTGATGAGGAAAGACTGAGAGAGCTGGGGCTGCTCAGTCTGGAGAAGACCAGACTGAGAGGGGACCTGATCAATGTTTATCAATATCTAAAGGGCGGGTGGCAAGAGGATGGGGCCAGACTCTGCTCAGTGGTGGCCAGTGACAGGACAAGGGGCAATGGGCACAAACTGGAACACGGGAGATTCCACTGAAATATGGGGCAAAACCTCTTTCCTGTGAGGGTGCC